ATTTCAACTAGGCTAGCAAGCTAGAAAGCCCCCAGGACCTACCCATTTCTGTCCTAGCTTCAGTGCTGGGTTACAGTTGCACCCAACCATACCTGGCTTGGCTTTTTTATAGGTATTCTGGGGATCTGGACCTGCTTCCTCATATTTACCCACTGATCTGTGCAACCGTGCCTCTCACAAACTTGTTAATTCTCACAAATCTGTCTTACATTGGGTATCATAACCCATGATACCCTTTGGCAGAAGGGAATCGTGCTTGGAAGACTTGCTAGTTAGCTTTATGGCCTGTAACTAGTAAAGTCGTGTGACTGGAGTTTCAGGCCTGAAGCCTGAGATCAGCAGTTAGGTTTACCACCACCCCCACCCCCACACACATACACATTCCAATACTACAATGATCAAAAAACAAGCAGTGATAAAATAAAAAGGGGGCTTAGGCATCATTTTGGGAAAAGGGGCAAAGTGGTCCAGCAGCCCCAAGTTCATCTTCAGGAAACCATGAGCTTTTAGGTTTAAATGGAGAAGGAACTGGAGCAAGGGTAAGAGATATGATAGCATTGTTAAGCCGTCCTGATCTAGGTGTGGTTGACCAGTGTCTCGTCTGGTTCTGCAATGTGGTTCAAAGGACTTGCTGTCATTCTTGTCGCTTTAGGGGAGCAGTCTGCTTCCTACAGGGTGATTACTTTTGATCCTAGAGGAGCCTCCCTCTATAGAGACATTGTTTTCAGTTGAGGGTAGTCATGTGAGGCTTCCCTGTTTGTGGGTGTCTTCAGTCTTGAAGGGAATGAGCTAGGTTAGATAAACAGCTACTCCTGGAGTAAGTTACATGCATGTGCAGAGTTAAACTAGTGTTCGAGCCAAAGCAAAGGAGGCCTGGTGCCTGGCTCTCAGCCTGCATTTAGTTACTCTGCAAGTCTTGGTTTCTTTTATCCAAAGTAGAATCTAACTACCTTCTCTGAGAGAAGTGAGGTCCACATTATTCCCAGCCTCTCTTCAGTGCCACCCATATTCCATAATCTTCATTATGTACTAGCTGTGGTCTAGGTGCTAGCTCAATAGTACAAACTCACCACACTTCTATGGTGACCCACTGGGCACATGAATCATAGCCAACCAACAGAAATGTCTTCTTAGACCAGCACAGAGTTAAAAAAGAAAACTGAGCCTGCACCGAACAATCAGATTTGGACCCAAGAGATGGCAGCTCTGAAGGTTTAGGTGAAAGGATCTTGGTTAGGCCCTCCATCTCAAAATGAAGTAATTATACATACCAAAGAGGTGGTATTTCAGAAGCTCAGGTGTGGAGGACATGATTAGGATCACAGGAACTCTGGAGACTAAGGCAGAAAAGTAAACAAATTCAAGGCCAGCCTGGGCCATTTGGCAAAACCCTATCTCAAACAAGTACAGGGGCTGGAGCCAATGGCAGAGCACTTGCCTAACATCCTCCAGGTCCTACTATAAGACATTGCTATAAGGCGTTGTTTTTATTTTTGTTTGCATGGATATGCATGTGAGATATATATGTGTGTGTGTGTGTGTGTGTGTGTGTGTGTGTGTACATGTCTGTATATGCATGTTTACATGTGTAGGGGCATAAATATGTAATGACGACTGGGCATGCATGTGATGTCAGGATTGATCCTCAGTCATTCTTCTACCTTATTTATTAGTCAGGGTCTCTCAGGCAAACACAGAACTCCCCAGTGTGGCTAGTGTAGCTAGCCAGGTTGCTCTGGGGATCCCGTCTCCATCCTCTAAGGCTGGAGCTTCAAGCTAGCTGCCATGCTACCCATTATTTATGTGGCTTCTAGAGATTCACACTCTAGTCCTGCTTCTCACTCAGGAAGTGCTTTAACCACTGAGCCATTTCCCCAGCCCTCAAGCACCAGAAAAAAAAAAAAAATAAAGGGCCAACCAAAGACAAATTCAGAGGCTCTTGACCTTTGAGACTGTGAAAAGGCTTGTGTTTTATACTCCGTGTGCCTGTGTCAAGAGAACGTTAGGTTGTTGTGCTGGCTAGCTTTATGTCAACTTGTTGGAAGCTCAAGTCATTTAAAAAGAAGAAACCTTAACTGAAAAAAACGCCCCCACCAGATTGGCCTGTGGGCAAGACAGAGGTGTACTTTCTTAACTAGAGATTGACGTGGGAGGTCCCAGCTTTCTGTGGGTGGTGCCAGCTCTAGGCTGTTGGTCCTAGCCTGTATAAGAGAGCGAGCCAAGCCAGCCAGTAAGCAGCATTCCTCCATGGTCTCTGCTTTAGTTCCTGCCTCAAGTTCCTGCCTGATTTCCCTGGATGACAGACTACAAGCTGTGAACTGGAATCAACCCTTTCTTCCCCGAGTTGCTTTGGCCATGGTGTTTATCCCATCAAGAACCCTAACTAGAACAGTGGTCATTTTCTCATTCTCATGCTTTTCTGGTTTGCACAACATTTTAGTTTTGCAGAGGTGAAGTCAGTGCTGGAAGCCTCAGGGTGGGAAAGGAGTGATCACAGTAGCTCATCAGAACCTCCTTGTAAGTTAGAAGGTAGGCTCATATGTCTTGGGAGATGCAGCCTGAGTTTGGGAGCAACATGGATCCTGAGGCTGGGTTCCAGGGTTGCCCTGAACTAGATCCTAGGCACGCCGAGGGACTGCCAGGATTTGCCTTCTCCCTATATCTGCTTTGCCCACCTGACTCCTGCTAACTGCGAGTCTGCTTCGATATGATGCTTAGGCATGGCTTCTCAGAAAGCTCAGCTTGAAGGAGGAACTGAAGCACTTGCCCAAAGCCCAGTCTTCCAGATGCTTCAGTTTCCTCAATTTGAAACTTTCTGTTAAGGGTCATGGGGTTGACATTCTTATCTCTGCTGTGTCTGCAGTTTCATCCCAGTTAATGTTTGGTTGAGAAAATGATTTCCTACCTCAGAGTCCTTGGGTCCACAGGCCTGGGCACCCACAGATGGGAGTCTGTGGAATGGATTGGGGGAAAACAAGGTGCTGCTTTGAGGACTTTGTCAGTAGACTGTCACTGTAGGTACATCCTAGTGGATAAGCAAGGGCTGCAAATGGAATGCCTCTCTTAGGCCTGAAGACATAAGTCTACAGACGTGAGCTCATCTGATAGACACAGATGTTTTGTAAGTGGCAGGCTAGCAGGCTTCTGGTGGACCTTTCTAGAATTCTACAATTCAACTTTGACTGTGTACTCTGTTATGATCTCATTGCCCAGATAAAAGAGGGCTGACTGACCATTGGCTTGAGCAAACAAAAGCAAGGCAGAACAGTCTGGAGCAAGAACAGGGTGTGTGGGGACTGAGTAACATTGTCTTACTGTGTTTAGCTTCTCCATATCATTCTTCTTATATAAAACAGAGATAACAATAATGCTCACCTTGGAGATGAGCCTCATATGCAGTGCATGCATAGGGCTCATAGGGTAAGAGATTCCCTGTTGTTCCTGACAATGAAGGTTTCCCTGTTATTGTTGATGACTGAGCCTGCATGGCTTATTTAGCTTGAGTCTTAGAGTTTCCATTACTATGAAGAGATATCATGACTGAGGCAACTCTTATAAAAGAAAACATTTAATTGAGGCTGGCTTACAGTTTCAGAAGTTCAGCCCATTATCATCATGGCAGGAAGCATGGCAGTGTGCAGGCAGACCTGGCACTGGAGAAGAAACTAGGAGTTGTACATTATGATCCGCCTGTCACCAGGAAAGACTGGCTCACACTGAGCAGAGCTTAAGAATATATTACCTCAAATCCCACCTACACAGTGACATACTTATTCTAAGAAGGCCACACCTCCTCCAATAAAGCCACACCTCCTAATAGTGCCACTTCCCATGGCCAAGCATATTGAAACCACCACACTTCGTGTAGACTTTGTCCACCCTATAATGCTAGAAGGAAGACAGAAAGTGGTAAGTGCTATCCATCTCTGACCTCTCTTTTTAGGGGGATCTGTGAGCTGCCCTATGACCTGGTTCTCCCTGACAAATGGTGTGTATGCTTCATGCATTGGCAGCCCATTTCAAAAAATTGGTAAGAACTGCACCTGGGTCCTTGACTCTGAACTCAGACCCCTGGCTCTGTTATTTGGGAATGAAAATCCTCTCTGACTATGAAAGTCATGGAACACCCCAACCCCACCCACAAACATGCATTCATGAGGTTGTAAATGTTCCCTAATCCCCACTGTGGAAGTGCAGGCTGTGAATATGGAGTAAGAGCTGGGCACAGGAGCCTCTGGTACTGCTGCCTGGCAGGGCCTTAGGGGTTCAGTTGTCTGGATTTCTGGTGACTCCTGTACCAGCTGGGGCTACACATACCTCACAGGTGTCACGAGGGCCAAGAGCATTCTATGAAATCCTGACATAGTCACAGTGAAGACCTCATCCATGCCTCTGTCAATGAGAAAACCCAACTCTTGCCTCAAAGGGAACAAGAGAGATTTATTCTGGAGTCAGATATGAGTGACCATGGTTTGGGAACACAAATTCTGTGTTTCAGTGTGAAAGCAGCTTTATGAAGCTTTTATAGTAACAGAACAAAGGAAGCCAGAAACCAAGATTCTTTTCAAATACTTGAGTGGCTCTGTCAGGTAGGTGGGGAGAACTCTATCATTATCAGCATCTGCTGTCAGATCCTGTCACCACCATCCGAGGCCCTTTATTGCTGGAAACTCCAGGTCTGTTCATACATTCCAAGGTATTTTTTTTTCTGTTAGTCATAGGATGTTAGACCAGACATAGAGGTAGACAAGGAATGGCTATTTAGGGGCTAAAGATAGCCCCACATAATTGTAATTAGTTCTGGGTCTGCAGCATTCCAACATGTCCACAACACTAATCGGTCCCACAGGCTCGGCAGACAGCTTGTTCCCAGAAGTCCTTGTTCACTGTCACAGGAACTCTGGAGCAGTTGTGCAGTTTACTTTTTAACTCAGAAAAGTATAACATTATTAACTAATATTTATACTTTACATATTAAATGTTTTTCTATCCTCTTAAAAGGCTATCTGGTTTGACCGTCATCCAGTAATGGGGCTTTGCCAGCATCTGTCACTGTTGCCTTTGGCTGTCTGTAAGGAGAAAGAGGAGAGAGGAAACTGAACTGAGTTTCTGGTGAGAAGTGAACCGAGAAATGGGCACACAAACTGGGGACGGTCTTCTTTATCAGAGATAGTGGTGTGATAGTGGTGATATATTCCTTATATCTTTGAGGAATCCATGAGGAGTGCCTGCTTCTAGGGACTGAAGATCTTGGCAGCTCAGAGGCTAGAAGCATTGTATGAATGGAGAAACAGCTGGCTCCCTCCAGTCAGCAGAGCCCTTTCCTTCACAGCTGGTGCCCCTGCCCAGTCAGCAAATGCTGAGGGAGACATGTTCTGAACCTCAGCAGTTCCTCAAGGTCAGACTCAGAGCATGAGCAGTGCAGCACAGCTCACTAAGTCTTGACCTTTACCCTGAATCCAGCCAGTGGTTCTAGGAAGAAATCCTACTCCTCAGTTAACAGAACCAAACCTGGTCCTATCTTCCCAAGCCTTGAATGGTTTCTCTTCTCTCCCCTTACCCTGCCACACTCCAGGGGTATCCTTGCCTCCCAATCCTAACCCTGCCCCCCTTCAATTCTTTACTATTCTATAAGTTTAAAAAGAAGTCATTTTATTTAGTTTGTTTGTTTGTTTATTAGTAAAATGCTTCATGAATTGGTGTCATCCTTGTACAGGGACCATGCTAAGCTCTGCCCTTCCAGTTTTAGTGTATATGCTGTGGAAAGGAGACTTTACACCTTATGTGATGATTGATCAGCTCGACTGACAGCTTGATTAGATGTAGACATGCCTAGGAGTTACCAAAGCGTGTCTCTGCTGTGACTGTGACTGTGTTTCCAGAGATGACTGGCATGTCGGAGAGCAGCTAAGTATGGGCTTGAGGCACAGGTAGAACAAGAGCTAAAGAACAGGGAACCCATCAGCAGCCTGCTATATCATTGTCATTATCAGTGTGTGTGTGTGTGTGTGTGTGTGTGTGTGTGTGTGTGTGTGTGAATGCCAGGGAGCTTGTATAGAAGTCAGAGGACTAGAAAGCTAGTTCTGGGATTTGAACTCAGATCATCAGATTTGTACACCAAATACCTTTACACTCAGAACCATCTCTTTCCTGCTCATTTTGTCACAGCAACAAAGCCTGACCGATACACATGTCTTACCCTCCCCCACCCAGGGATCCACAGATACTAACATTTGGTGTATTTCCTTCTTCATTTTCTTTAGTTTTAAGATACTTTCACTCTGTAACCCATGTGAGCCTCAGGCTCAAAGTGATGCTTGCACATCTGTCTGCTGAGTACTGGGACTGCAGGTATAATCCAACTCTCCCCTAAACTTACTACATTTAACATTTTACAAACAATGCTAGCATTTTAACCTAGTTGTCATGCTGTGACTAAAGCTTACCGTTTTGCTTTTCCATGCCTTTGTAAATGGTAATAGTATCATGTTCTTCCACCAATTTTCAATCATTCTCTTAAAAACATAGAGGACTGGGGTTGTAGCATAACAGCAGAGGTGTCTCAGCATGTGCAAAACCCTAGGTTTGAACCCCAGAACTAAAATAATAATAAAATAAAAATCAGTTAACTAGGCCATTGCTCATTTTTATTGTAAATTATTTTGTATTGGATGTAATAAACCTTTGATCCAATTTCACAGTATTCATGATGAGATGGTATCAAAACCATTAGAATCAAAGTTTCTGAAGAAAGAAGTTTTCTTCATTATTACAAAAGTATTGTTAATTATGGCAAATGTAAGATGGTGTAAAAATAAATGTGTACCTGTGTTCTCCCCACCTGGAGATGGCTGTCATAGGTATGTAGCAGGGGAGCCTTACCTGAGACCTTGCTGGAGTGTAGACTTTTGGGACAAACTCAACATATATTGAATCACGCTCCTTCACTTAACTACGCCATGTTCAAGTCTGAGGATTATGGTGTTCACAGCTCTGATCCTACCAGTGGTAAAGGCCTTTCCTCTCAAAGCTTTATACAAAGATCTTTACTGTCTGGGAGTCTAGGGGAATTCTGTCACCTCTGCCTGTGAATGGCTGTTCTTCATGGCTTTGTCTTCTGTCACTGAACACCGTGTGACAGTGTTTTCCTGTTTGTCCACTTTCCCCCAGAGCATGCTTCTCATGGCTTCAGGGACTGTGTCATAGTTCATTGACTGACTCCTCTTGTTATCAGTTGTCTGGATTCTTTGCAGGGAGAGTGTTTTATGGCTGTTGGAAATACACCAGAATGAGTGGGTCACATTTGTCACAAAGAGGTTCCTTCCTTACTTCTTTTTAGTTAATTCTTGGAATGCTGCTACTGGGCCAAAAATATGACTGCTTTAATATGTGCCCCCTGTGTGCAAAATGCCCCCACACTAGCCTAGGCCTGTGTGACATGGTCTATGGCAAATGTTACAGCAGAACTTATGTCCTCCACTTCCATCGAGCCTCCAGAACTGCCTCATTTAAAGGTGATTGGAGGAGGGGACATACGTGACACAGGAATAGGCAGTTGCCTGTGGTGGCAGAGTTCTTTCCTGGCTGAGTCCTAAGTGGTAATAGATACCACTGACTAGGAAGTGGCTTCTCTCATGGTGTGTGTGCTGTGTGCACAGTTTAGACTTTACTCACATGTCCTGAGGTGCAGGAGTAAACTTTGCCTACAGTAATTGCAGATGTGAATTACTCTGTAATCCCCAAATCTGTAGGACATAATTGGGACCAGACTTGGTTTTGCTTCATAAAACTCAGACTGTTGGGATATAGAACACCAGATTCTTGTCTTAAGTAAATTTTATTTTGGAAGGTGGATTTTTTTTTTTTGCAATAAAGAAAAAGTGAGCTGTGAGATCTACAAATGTGATTCAGTTCAAGTTTGAACTTCAGTGCATGCAGAGAGAGGTGGGGGAAGGAAGGGGAGAGTCTTATGCTTTTTGAAATTCATGTCTGTGGCTGTGGAGTGTACCTGTGGGTCACAACCCCTTTGGGGGGGTCAAATGACCTTTTCATAGGGTCACCTAAGACCATAGGAAAACTCAGATATTTACATTACAATTCATAACAGTAGCAAAATTATAGTTATGAAGTAGCAACAAGAATAATCTTATAGTTGGGGTCACCACAACATATTAAAGGGTCATAGCGTTAAGAAGGTTGAGAATCATGGTTCTCTCATTTCCTGCCTTATTCTCCTGATTCACTGAACCTAGAGAGAGGTTAGGAGCAAACAGCCCACAGTACTGCTGTTACAGATGTAGTGGACACACCCAGTGTTTTACATGGTTGCTGAGGGTTTGAACTCAGGTCTTTATGGTTGATCAGCATTTGTTCTTGATCTTACCCACTGAGCCAGCCATCTCTCCATCACTTAAGTAGTTTTTATGGACAGCTGATATTGTGTTCCGTGAATAGATCATAATTTGTTCATTTGTCTTTTGTGATCCTTTTAAGAAGCTATCATGAGTAAAGCTGCTGTGAACATTCTTGGATAAATCTTTACAACTGGTCTTATTAAGGTACAATTTATATGCCATTAAAACCCACTCATTGTAAGTTCACAAATCTGTGTTTTCCAAAGGTTTGAACAGCTGTCACCATAATCCAGTTCTAGAAATTCCTATTGTCCACAAAACTTCACCATGTCAGTTAGTCAACTCCTAGCCTGAGGCAGCCAGTGATCTGTTTTGTCTAAATGAAATCTCAGAATGCAGTTTTGGGGATTTGGCTTCTTTTGATACCAGAGCATGTGAAGATGTGGGTGCCCATGGAGGCCAGAGGACAGTCTCCGGTATTCTTTTCAAGAGCTGTCCACTTTGGTTGTTTTGAGAAATGTGTTTTTTGTTGGCCTAGGAATTCTCCCATCTTCAACTCTCTAGCTGGATGCAAACATGCATTACCAGGCCTGGCTTTTTTTGTGTAGCTCTGGGGCAGAACTCAGGTCTCCTTGCTTATGTAGCAAGTACTTTATTATTGGAGACATCTCCCCAGGGTTTACTTCTTAACACCAGATTTTGAGATTAAGGTGTGTTGGAGAGTTTGTAATGGGCCATCCCTTTGTATTGTTAAAGGATTTGCTCTTTTTTGTTTGTTTGTTTGTTTTTGAGACAGGGTTTTCTCTGTGTAGTCCTGGCTGTCCTGGAACTCACTCTGTAGACCAGGCTGGCCTCGAACTCAGAAATCCGCCTGCCTCTGCCTCCCATGTGCTGGGATTAAAGGCATGCGCCACCACCGCCCGGCGTTTTTGCTGTTTTGAAATGACATAATTTCATGTCTATTTTTGAACTGAAAGGCATTTGAATTGTTTCAGTTTTGGTTTTGGCTATTTATATAGTTTTGGTTATTACAAATGCTGTGTGTATGTGTTTGTATAGATTTTCTTCTTATGTCTCTTGGGTAAGTTTCTAAGAGTGTAATGTAGAATCAAGTTTATGTCTAACTTTTAAGAACCTGACAAACTATTTCCCCAAAGTGTCTGCATAGTGCTAGAGTCCAAGCAACACTATGTAGGGATTTGATTTCTCTGCTTTCTCAGCAATATCCAGTGTTGTCCATCTTTATTACGGTCTGTCTCAGTTACTGTTCTATTGCTGTTCTGAGATGCCATAGCTAAGGCAACTTACAGAAAACATCATTTAATGGAGCTTACAAATTCAGAGAGTGAGTCCATGACCATCATGATGAGAGGCAGGAGAGCAGGCAGGCATGATACTTGAGCAGTAGGTGAGAGCTTACATGTTGAGAGAAAAACCACAAGGCAGAAGAAAGCTAACTGGGAATGGCTTGGCCTTTTGAAACCTCAAAGTCTGCTCCCAGTGGCACACCTCCTCCAACAAGATCACATATCCTAATCCTTTCCAGAAAGTTAAAAGCCAGATGAGGACAAATATATGATGAGCCTATAGGGGCTATTATTCAAACCACCACACATCCATTCTCCTGAGTATGTGATAGTGTAGCATTACAGTTTTAATTGGCACTTTCATGTGGAGGACTTTTTCATCTGGTTATTAATCATTTTATGTGGTGAAATGGCTATCTAAATCTTTTGCCAGTCCCTTAAAAATATTTTTAACTAAAATATAATTACATCACTTCTGTTACCTCCCTCTGCCTGTCTCGTTCCTCCCAGCTCCTTCTTAAGTTTGTGGTCTTTTTCTTTAATTAATTACACACACACACACACACACACACACACACACACACACACACACGAGTACAGGAGGTGGGAGGGGGAATCTGCTGAGCCATTTAGTGTTGCTTGTTTGTACATGTGTTTAGGGCTGACCACTTAGCATTGGATAAGCATTTAGGAAACACATCCCTGAGGAAGACTAATCCTTCCTCTCTTAGCAATTATAGCTCTTCATCTAGTGCTGGGCTCTCAGAGACTTCCCCCGTCCACATCGGCATGTCAGCTGGTGTTGTCACTGTTCGGGTCTTAAGTAGCCATATTGTGATTTCATGGGTGTAGCTCCCTGTCCTATCTAAAAGACACAGGCTTTCAGCAGACTTCCTAGTTCTCAGGCACTTACATTCTTTCTGCACCATCATCTGTGATATTCCCTGGCCTTAGGTACAAGAGTTGTGTTGTAGATGTAGTGGTTAGCATTGGACACCCCACAGCCAATTGTTTTCTGCATTTGACCAGTTGTGGATTTCTATAATGGTCTCCTTCTGCTTTGTAAAGAAGCTTCTTTGATGAGGAGAGGGGTAAGAAGTACACTTACCTGTGGGTATAAGTTTAAGTGTTTGGGATTAAGTTAGGAATTATACTGGTTTAGAAAGTGGTAGTAGTAGGTTCTCCTTTAAGGTCCATGATGTCACTAGCCATGGGTGGTTGGCTAGGTTTCTAGTAACAGCCATGGTTTCCCTCCTGTTGATCAAGCCTAATATTCAGCTAGACAGCTCTTTATTACTGTCAAGATTCTCTATTGTACCTTTAGGGGTATCTCGCTCTGATGGTCATTGTAATGATTCATAAACATTCTTCCTTTGGCAGCTTTCATAGCACTACTGGGCTCAATGAAGATTAGTCCTCAGGGAGGAAGCCTTCAGGTCAGATCCAGCATAAATCCTCTGAATCCTGTGCTCTAAAGTGATTGTTGTCTTCAGCAAAAGGAACTTACCTTCAACTCTGGGAGACAACCAAGGGCAACAACAATAACATACATTGTTTGGGGGAATCTTTTGAACTCTTCTGACCAATGCTCAAAAGGAAGATTCTCATCCCTGGTATAGTGTTTTGTTACATAGTCTATGGCTCTTGGGAAGAACATTATATGTAGTTTACGTGTGTGTGTGTCACTTTGTCTTAGTTACTATTCTATTGCTGTGAAGAGACATCATGACCAAGACAAGTCTTATAAAAGAAAGCAGTTAATTGAGGTTCTTAGTCCATTATCATCATGGCCGGAAGCAGAGAATAATGGTACTTAAGGAATAGCTAAGAACTTTATTTCCTCAACCGTGGGCAGGAGGCAGACAGAGACAGACAGACAGACAGACAGACAGAGAGCGCTCAAAGCCCTGCTCAGTGACACACCTCCTTCAACAAGGTCACTCCCACTCCCACCACCACACCTTCTAATCCTTCCTAAACAGAAATGTATGAGCCTACTGGAACCATTCTCCTTCAAGCCACCACACACTTATATGTATTATATATAAAATAATATCCACAATGGCTATTACAAACATTTCCCATGTTGTTATCCTCCTTCTCCCTCCCTCCTTCTCTACTTAACCCCCATTTCCCTGTTTGATGTTTCTCTTTCTGTTTCCCCCTTTAAGTCACCTGTGCCCTCTATTCTGGTCCCTCTGGAGCTCCTTCTCTACCCCTAAGATCCATTTTTCACTTCCCTGGCATCTATAGTTATTCTAGGCTGTATAATCACATCTGAAGAGTTCAAGCTGGGAGCCCCAGATGAGAGAGAACCCGCAGCATTTGTCATCTTGGATCTGGGTGACCTCAGTCACTGTAATATTTTCTAGTTCATCCATTTGCCTATAAAGTTTATAATTTCCTTTTATTTACACTGAATGGTGTTCTACTGTGCATATGTATAAAGTTTCTTTATCCAGTCATCAATTGAAGGGCATTTAGGTTTTCTGTCTCCTAAGCTATTATGAATATAGTGGCTTCATTGTCTCTGGACCTATGCTAAGGGTCAAAGAGCACAGTGGAGCAAAGCCCCTCGCCTTATGGCAGCCAGGCAGCAGAGAGAAAGGAGGCAGCTGAGGACAAGACAGACCCTTCAGAGTCAATCCCAGTGGCCCACTTTCTTGAAACAGTCCATACCTTCCTTAGTTTCTGTCACCTTTCAGTAACACCATCTATCAGTGGATTAATCTATGGATGATATCAGAGCCCTCCTAATGCAGTCAATTCCCAAAATCCCCCAGACCCGGCATTCATTTCAGAGTCAAACCCTAAAATAAAGCGCCTATTGGACCTCTTGTCTCGCTCGTATTTGATATTACTGATTTTTAACTCAGCCATTCTGGTGAATGTGAAGTTGTACAACATTGTGGTTTGGTTTTCCTTAATGACTGATGCAGAGAGCTTCTAGATGCTGCTGGGTGTTTATGCATTTTCTCCTCCAAGTAGCTTTTAAGTTTTGCAAATTCTGTTCTGAGTTCACTTCTTGCTGTTGATCTAGAACGTTCTGTATACATAGTGTGGCCACATGTCATTTGTTAGATATATGTGTTGGAAATATTTTTCCCTGTTGTCCTTTTTTTCCTCTTTCAATGTTCTATGATTAGATTTCTATTTTAATGAGTTTCTAATATCTGTGCTTGTAAATGCACTCTAAAGAATTTTTTTTTACCTGCTTTAAAGGTTGTAGAGATAATCCTCCTGGCGGATGAATAGACAGAGATGTCCATCACTCAACTCCTCCACAAAGAAGAGCTGAAGATGCACAACTGTGTTCAGAGGTGAGTGATCATTGGGCTCCCGTGAGAATCTGAGACCTGGACAGCAGCAGAGGAAGGGAAACAGAATTGTGATGCCTGCCAGCCCACAGCCACAGATGGAGAGGACAAGCCTTCCTGTAAAGGTGAAAGGCCCAGCACAATGCCATTGTGTGTGCTAGTAATTTTTGATCCTGGAAGTTTTCATAATCTTCATGTTTGCAGCTCACTGACATTAGAAACTTGGAATCTGTAAGTATCGTCTCCTTTCAGAAAAGGAGCTCACATATCCTGTTAACTGCCACACCTGCCCTCAGGGCACTGTTACTAAAGCCAGCCTGAGAAGTCAGATGTCTGAACTTGAGCTGGTGCTGGAGTCACAGTCCTCACTCCACAGACATTCACCATGCCCCGCATTGTCGGGACAGGCATGGTGACAGAGAATAGTGTCACCTTCTTGAATCAGGAGATCAGGGTGATTTCCCTTTGACAAGGTCTGGCTGCTAGGACCATGACAGCCACATGCATGTAGGCTCAGTGAAGGTTCTTGAAGTTCCTGCCACAATACAAGTGCGTCATCCTCATCACTGTCTGTGCCGTAGCTGCTCTGCTCACAGAAGAGTCAGTGGATTTCTACTTCAGTGTAGCACATGCTGTACTCACTGTGCATAGAGTCATTAATCACAACCAAAGAGGATACAGGATACCATTCTGTGGTGGCCATCTAGAACGAAAGCCAGCGTTGCACCAATACTTCAAGACACATCCTCACGAGAAAAATGCCTACTAAGAAAGTCACTCATCAAAATGATAGAGCTATCTGAGCCATCAAATATGTAGGAATATAAAGAATGATGCCTCTCAAAGAAAACCCAACTATAGCAGTAAGTTCCAAATAAACTAAAGGTATAAATGCCTGGTAGAGAAATGGAATGATTATTTCTGGGCAGAGGAAGGAACCAGTGGAGAGGAACAAAAGAAGATATTCCAGGAGTGTCTATGAACCAATAAAGGACCAAGGTCTCAAAGTGAAAACCATTCTTTTTCTACACCAATTTACAAAGAATAATTTGAAAGATAAATGGATGATTATATTTTTAAAAGTGAGATCCAATAGAATACAGATAGATGAAATTAAAGAGAACTTAATATTCTCTTTAATACTATGAGTAAGAAATTCCATAGAGAAATATTTTGAAAAAGAACCAGACAGCAAACTGAGGTTAAAGAAACATGGTAAATTAAAATTTAAAAATACAGTTGGTAGCCTCAACAAACAGTGTAGATAAAGCAGAAGAAAAACTATCTGAACTTATGACCTTATCCCATCTCCCCACATTCCATATGTATCCTCCAGGAGCAGCCACGCTGGCACGCCATTCCCATCCAGCCTGTCCATCCAGCCTGATTCGTATAGCTCTCACTCCTTGTCACGGTCAGTGCTTTACTGCTGTGAAGAGACACCATGCCCACGTAACCACTATGACCACCCTTAGAAAACATGTACATTTAGTTGGGGCTTATTTACAATTTCAGAGGCGGAGTCCAGGACCCTCATGGCAGGGAGTGTGGTGGTGGGCAGGCTTGCTGGGTGCAGGAGCAGCAGGTAAGGGTTTACATCTCAGTCCACAGTATGTACAAAGAGAGAAAGAGACAGGCTGGGCCTGATTTGGGCTTTTGAAATCTTGAAGCCCACTCACATCGACCTACTCCCTCCAACAAGGCCACACCTCTTAATCCTTTCAGATAGTCATTCCCTGATTGTAACAGCCCGTTCTGCTGCTCCGGTCCTCGGGTCAGGGCCTAGCAAGAAAGAGAGTGGGGACAGAGACTCGAAGAATGGAGACGAGATAGGGAGTCTGCTCTGGAGACGGAGTCTGCCCTGTTCTCTCCTCAAGTCTCTCCTTTTATATCTCTCCTCAAGTCTCACCTCTCGCCTTGAGTCTCACCTTGAGTCTCTCAAGTGCTGGGATTAAAGGCATGTGCCACCACTGCCTGGCCTTGATTGAAAGGAAATCATGGGTATATCAAGATAATTATCAGAGTGTGCTCAGCTGTTGTAGGCTGTTGAAAACAAGTCTCTTGTCAGGGTATATGGCTCAAGATGGCTGAAAAGATGATAGCCGCTTTCTGCTCAGAGTCGGCTCCCAACACCTGATGACCAAGCATTCAAATCTGTGAGCCTATGACGGCCATTCTCATTCAAACCACCACACTCCTTGTGAAAGAAACTCCTCTTTGTAGAGGTCAAAATGAAGAGAACCACTAACCATGGGGTGCCCAGCCCCAACTTATAACATCTACAAGTCCTGCACCTAAGGCTCAGGAAACAAAACCTGAGACAGGTAGAAAGACGGTGAGAGGCTGAGGCTCAGGAAGTCTGCTGTGAGAGTGTGTCTCCTAGAAGTGACAGGGGAAGCTACATCCAGGTCACCTCAGCCAAACGGCTGCTGAGACAACATGTGAACAATGAGGACGTGAATAGACACTCTAACATCCATTGAACAATCTCCTGTAGCCCCGCCCCTAGACAAAGAGCCACAGGTAAATAAGGACTATGGTAATCTTCCCGAGGCATGAGCCCCCTAACTGGTTATCCCATATCAAGTGGACAGGTCTGAAATGGTAAATATACAGCCAACATTAAATGGACCCAGCAGGCTATATTTATATGTTTATGCATTGTCTTCATGTGTAACAATAATAAAGAAAAAGAGACCATGAATTTGAGAGGGAATAAGCAGAAACATAGGAGGAGTTGAAAGGGGAAAGGAAGAAATGATGTAATTGTATTTTAATTCTGTTTATTTTAAATTTAAGAAGAATATTTGAACTTGAAAACAGGCATTTTGAAAGCTCAGTGAGGGGAAAAATGTGAAACAAAATATTCAGAGCCAGGCAGTGGTGGCACATGCCTTTAATCTCAGTACTTGGAAGAAATAGACCTCTGAGTTCAAGGCCACCTTGGTGTACAGAGCCTGAGGGCCAGCAAAATGGTTCAGTGGGTACCTGAGTTCAACTGCTAGGACACACATGACAGAAAGAGAAAATCAACTCTCAGAAGGTGTCATTTGATCTACACACACAACATGGCACATGCATGCCCACATATAACACACTTGGAATAAATAAATAAGTGTATGTTAAAACCAACTTAAAGCATCCAGTATGCACCATGTTATGATACCTGTGTTAAAAGCATATGCAAATATATTTATTCTTACTCTGAGAACAGATACTGAGAAGAAAAACAGAAGAGTTACTAAATCTGTCACCAGTTGCCTGGCAGAAGCTAATTTCAGGAGGAAAGGTATACTTAGTTCAGTCCCAGAGATGCTCAGTCCATCACAGGAGGGAGGGCCAGATGGCATTCATGACGGCAGAAAGACATGGTCAAGTCTCACATCTCAGGGCAATCAGGACACAGCATGGCTAGAGGGTGGGCTATAATGATAAAGGCCCACCTCTAGTATCCTGCTAGTGACCACCTAGTCTCTTTCATAAGGCTCCATAGCAAACCCCCATCTCCTCCAAATAATGCCACAGCCTGGGGAAGCAGTCACAGAAAAATGCAAGCTCATAGGAGATAATTCCCGAATCAAACCAGAACATTTGACCCCTTGCCCCAAAAGATTGACTGCCATCCCGAAACACAACGTGCATTTAGTCCAGCCTCAAGCAACCCTACAGTCTTAACACTTGTAACACAATTCAAAATGCCATGTCCAAAATCTCCTCTGAGATTTAAGGCTAACTCTGTAACCATGAGGCCTTGTAAAAATCAAAACAGCAAGCCATGCACTCTCATATAGTAGTACAGAGTGAACAAAACTATTCCAACCAGGTGTTTTGCAAGGTTTCAAAAGGCCAACACCCAGCAGGGAGAACACCCAACCCTGTAGTTCCAAGACTAGTATGTGGGACACATGGTAATATGATACAATTTCCTACAGGCTTGGGCAGACCTTTATCCCTATAGTCTGTTGCCTGTAGCTTTCTTTGGCAGGCATGAAACAGTTCTAGTGTTTCCAGGTTCTTGGTGTCTTCCTCTACCTCTCCTCCACAGATTCACACATAGCAAGGAATCTGGTCCTGCTGCACTGCCTAATCACAGAGGGTTTTCTGTGGAACTCTGGCTCGAGGTTTATAACCTTGAGCTTACTAGCAGTCAGACCTTCAGTAGCAGATTCTAGATTCAATGAGATGCCTTCACCTTGCTCAGATGCCAGTGAAGCTGTGATTCAAGCTGATGGCAGACCTTGCTGTCATGCCTGGCAGGCTGGTTCTATAGACACACAAGATGCCACAGTTAGGGGCTCCTAAGCAGATTTCAAAGGAAATCCTGGGAGGGCAGTGTGTAGCAAGGTCTAAGTCCCTGTAGGAAGAAGCTAAGAGGGCAGTGTGCAAAAGCTTGACAGTAAAGTCACATGCCAGGACTGAGGAACAGCAAGGAAAACTGTAAGACGTGGAGCCAGAAGAGGGGCCCCAAGGCTCTGTTCGTAAGCCTCCATAGTTTCTGCCACATATCTGCTCTCTAAACAGGTTCCTTCAGTCATCTATTGCTCAGTCACTCAGGTTTCAGCCTCTAGATTTGCATCTTTGAAGATTTATGCCTTTAGAATGAAGTGCTTTTTCAAAGATTTTAAAGCCATTCAGGTGACAGATTTGGGGGGTGGGGATTGAGCACAGAGCCTTAGGCAGGGCAAGCACTCTATGGAGCTGCCTCTTCAGCACTGCACCATTATAGCACTAGATTGAATTATCTGTGGTCAGTGATGGTCAGTCCTGACCATCCCCACTACACATTCCTCCCCAGTGCACACATTGCAGATTCTGAAGCAAATTCTAGTAGTCAACTCATTTCCAAATATTTCAGTATGTATATTTAAAGACTTAACTCTTAATTTCCATTTCCTCTGTAAAGACTTTCTCTATAAGTGCAGTCCCATCCTGAAATACTGTTGTTTAGGGCTTCAACATTTGAATTTGAAGAGAGCAGAGTTCAGATCACAAGATTAAAAACTCCTTAGCACCCTAGACTTTCTAGTCAGTGCCCAGCTTTACTGTAAACACGTTTGTTTTACTGTAGTCTACATAATGTACCTACTTCTGGATCATAATGCCCCCTTTTTGTGAGTTTATTTTTTTCTTTCACTGAAAATAGAAGTTTTTCATACACTATATTCTGGTCATGGTTTCCCCTCTCCCAGCTCTTAAAAGATTCCCCCAGTCTTCCCTCCCATGGAAAGTCACATCTTATCTTAAGCCTTTTAATCTTTCATACTGGTGTTTTAATTTACTGAAGAAACAAGTTGTCCCATGAGCTGGCTTTGTCTTTATTTTCCTGCTTCTCATGGGATGTTTTCTTCCCTGTCCTGATTTTATGGTGAGCTATCGCTGAGTTTAAAGGCTTTGTCGGGTTATAATTTCTTGGCAAGTCTACATAGTAGGAATGATGGGATCTTCACCACTCCTTTGGAAGAGATGGTGACCAGTGGCTTGTCTGGATTTAAGATGTCACTTGTCAATTTTATCATTGCTTTATTTTGTCATTGCTCATCTCTGCCTCTTACTGCTTTACCCCTAGGGGTGCAGGGGGTACAGGAGATGTAGCAAAAAATATGCCTCTCCCAGGATTTCCCCATGTAAGAAGAATCAACAGCTTGATTCTTTAGTATGTCCTCCAGTGTCACAGTAAGATTTGCTTCCTCATTGTTTGTGTGCGTGTGCAGGCACACCTGTGTGGAGGAGACTAGTCTTCAGGAAAGACTGCGCTCATGGAATCACCCCACACTTTCTCTGAAAATCAACTTCTGAATTCTTTTCTGTACCATTGACTTACAGGAATATCTTTATGCTAATACCATGCTGTTTTAACTTCTATATCTTTACAGCAAGTCTCAATTTGGGTTATATAAAATGTTATGAAAAATTGTTCCTGTCATCATTTTCATTCTCCCAGGACATATGTCTTCCTAGATAAACCATAAATCAGTGTGTCGGTTTCTACAAGATTAGCTTTTTGAGTCTTTTAGTCTCTTTCTCTTTTCCCTGATCTAGGATTTCTCTTCCATAGTGGCTGGAATACTGTGCTCTTATGTGCTTTGTCTATTGCATCCTTAGGTTTTCCCTTTTTCCTGCTATCGTATATTCATTTCCCTTCGTTGTAGTACATACAAATATAACTGTTAATTGGTCTGTTTTATTTTGGCTTCCTTTGAACTCCCTAAGTACATGGTCATGTTACCCACAAGTAAAGATAGTTGTACTTAGTCTATATTCCTTTCCTCTGCTTGCCTGTCACATGGGTGACGATCCCCAGTGAAACACTGGGGGTGGATATCCAGCCTGCTCTAGGGGAATGGCTTCTCTTTGATCACTAAGCATGAGGTTATATGTCTCATATCTTGCTTGTCTAGTTAGGGAAGTTTCGGTCTCTTGCTTGTAAGCTTGGATCTTGTTGGGTTTTATGAAACACTTTCTGCATTTGCTCAGTTCATCTTGAGATTTCCTCTTCCCTCTGCTAACATGGTAAGATACTAGATTTTTTAAACTAAGTCTGCACTGGTTGTGATAGGATTTTTGTATGTTTGTAGACCCCCATTGCTTATGTTTTCTTAAAGGGTTTTCCTCCCATATTCATAAAGTATGTTGGTTTATGATATACTTTTCTTAAACTACCTTTGGTTTTGATGTTAGGGTAATTCTGGTCTTGTGACATGAGTTAAGGTCTGTACTAAGTTTAGTACTTATGGTTTTTTTTTTTTTTTTAAAAAAAAAAAACTTTTTATTGATTCTTTGTGAATTTTATATCATGCACTTCAATTCCACTCATCTCCCTATTCCTCCATATTAGCCCTCTGCCCTTGCAACCTCCCCCAAAGGAAAAAAAATTAAAATCTCACTGAAGCTGTGGTATGTCCTGGTGTGTCACATAGTATAGCCTTTTGCCCAAACAGATTTACTTGCAAATGTTCATTGCAGTGAGCCGCTGGTCTGGTTTGAGGCCTCTGGCTTCTGCTACACTGTCAATACTACATCCTCGAAGGGACTCCTCTTGGATATCCTCTTGTTCACCTGTGTCATGGAGACTTTACACCTTTGGGTCTATAGGACTAACTCCTTCATGTGCTCCAGCAGTTTATAGGTCTAAATATTGGGGTGGACCCACTCAAAGGGGTGGTAGCTGAGTTTGTCAGCGTGACAGCACTACCAGAGCTAGGTCTCTTGCTTTACCAGAGCCAGCTCTCCTGCTTGCAGCAGCTGGACCAGATCTCCCTTAAACATCATCTGAGTCAGCTAGACTACACCAGTTAGGTCTCCAGCACTGTCCCAGTGAAGGGCAGGGCCAGGTCAGCTCTGTGCAGTCTTCAGACCTAGAGGTGGTCCCAGGCAGCAGCCTAGACCGGAAACGTCCCACATGGCCTTTGGTGGTAACATGGGCCATGAAGATTGACACAGACCCCTGCTGCTGCAGGGCCATGAACACAGACATGGCCCTGCAGCAGCATGAGCAGGGATATCACTATGGCCTCAGGTGGCAGCACAGCCTCCTCACATCAGGCTGTTCCTACCACCCTCACCTGTCTTCTGATGTCTTCTGCCCCTCTCCCCCCACGCCTCTGGGTCAGTACTTTATTCTTAAATGTTCGGTGGAAACAGTCAAAATTACAATTTCTTTGTATGTGTATGAATTTTTTTACTTGTATTGTTTATGTGCATCACAGTTGTGCCTAGTGTGTGCGGAGGCTGGAAGAGGGCATTGGATCCCTTGGAGCTAGAGTTACCAAAGGCCATGAGCCACCATGTGGTTGCTGGGAAACAAACCCAAGTCCTCTGCAAGAGCAGCAAGTGCTCTTACCTGCTGAGCCATCTCTCCAGCCAGAGGCTGATTTCTTTAATGGAGATATTTAACATTGTTTTGTGAATGAGATTTGCTAGTATCCATAAACTATTTCATCACAGATGTTTAAATTATTGGAAAAATAGTTCCAAATAACCCTTAATTACCCTTTACTGGTTATAGACTCGTCAGTACGGTCCTGTCTTTAATACCATCTTCCTTACATTGTTCGGTTTCTCATTGCTACTGCCACCCTCCCACCAAAACAGCCAGTTTGCCTCACTAATCGCTCTGTTTGGTTTCATTTGCCTGTTTCCTGCAACCCATGCTGTATAGTCTTACTGGCTCCACCTCCCGAGTGTCACATGTGAGTCACAGTGTCCTGGCTCCACCTCCCGAGTGTCCCACGTGAGTCACTGAGCCCAGCTCTGTTGCTGTTTCTTATTCTGCTCTTTATTATGTCCTTCCTTCAACCTTCTTAGGTCTAAGTCACTCTCATTTCTTGGAGTTTAACATTTCTACCACTGAACTGAGATATTCTTTTCCTATATGAATAAATATATTTGAGTCAGAAGAAAACCTAAAAGGTTCCAGAATCCCAAAATTAAAATCAAATAATTTTAACCAATTCCTTAGATATCTATTGCTGCTTTCCACAGGTACAGTTTCTTCTACAGCTTTTCTGCTGTGAAGTAAACAACATGTGAGGTTAAAACATTTCAAAGGTCACAGAACACTGGGGAATTGTACTGTATATACACACACACGTGTGTGTGTGTGTGTACACGTGTGTACACGTGTGTAGGTGTGTAGGTATAGGGTACTCTGAGGAAATGGTGTCTGGGGTAATGAACAGGCAATACGGGCTATTGAAGGACTGAATAAAGTGGGTAATTTTCACTGTGTGTATTTCAGTTTTGTACCTAATCATTTATAACAATTTTCAAACCACTATTTGTCTATCATGCAAGAACTTCATCTTAAAAGGGTTTGCATCTATGTTTTGGAAGAATAGTTGTCTTAACCAACAGCTAATGGCAGTCTCCACAGGTAATAGCAGTGACAGGATTTCTCACATTTGGATTGTGCTTATGTTTAAAGGCTCTTTCATGTATAAATTGGGCCCTTCATTTCCACTTGTGAGTTGGGCCATAATTATATGCTACATGTTTAGAATTGATCTTAGGACTAAAGGAATGTGCAATCTTGACAAGGCTCAGTATAGTGTTCTCTAGCATTATTTAATAAACTCTGGTGCGGTGTTGCTTCCCACCTCAATGGTTTATGTTCCCAAATGAAACACACACACAGCCTTTATATTTAATATGCTTTAAGCAGCACAATAGCTGGAAAACTGTCTAGCCTCCATGCTGCTAGAATCTACCTCGAAGTCTCAAGCCCAGGAACTGTAACTCTTGCCTCTCTCTCTCCTCCCCAGCTATTGGCTGCTGGCATCTTTATTTACCAATCAGAACCAACTTGAGGCAGGCTCTCAGAAGCTCTGTGCAGACCAGCTCCTACAAAGTAATTTGGGGGACACAGATTAGCATTAGAATGCAGCAGCTACAGTGTTCTTCACAGGCTCTTTCCATGCAGCAGGCTTACACAGACCGCCGTCATACTGACTCATTTCCTGTGCCTGAAATTACCCTTTTTACTCTCCAAGTCTTTTAATGGACAGAGTTTGCCAGAAGCCATGTGGTAGGTGTGATATCTAGGCAGATCACATGCAGATAAGAATTTAGGTATCTGATATTAAGCTAGACACTAAAGCACCTGTGAAACAGTATAAATTTGCTCAATTTGTTGTGTTCGAGAAAATACAATGATTTTTTTTAACTTAAAATATTATTTAGCATATAAGTATTAGGGGATCCTTAAACCATGAACTACAGGTTTAGACACTGGGAAAACTGCAATAAATCTTTAAACAGATGCTGTGTTAGCTGTGCCCAGCTCTCAGCATCTCTGGTGGACTGTCATAAGTACAGTCCTCCTCGCTGCTTCTCAGAGAAACTGAGATGGTAAGCAGTTGGGCTGGCTCTGGTCCCGAAGGCTTGTTTACTCTGCAGGGATACATAGATGCTGCTTACTAAATGGGTCTTAATGATAGTGCCCTTTGCTTCCTTTCACAGAGGTCAGTCACACACCCGTTTTGGTATATAGTAAAGTGACATGCAAGGAGCTGACAGTGATGCCGCTGCAGGCCGTAAAATGAAAAGAAGCTCGTCAAGAGAGAGTAAGTATAACAAGCTGTTAAGATAAAGAAGGCTGGGTGTGGTGTGCACACCTTTAATCTCAGCACTCAGGAGGCAGGGGCAGGTGGATCTCTGAGTTCTGTGGTAGGCTGGTCTATAGATTGAGTTCTGGGACATCCAGGGCTACGTGGTGAGGCTCTGTATGAAAACAACAAGATATAGATAGGAAAGCACAGAAGAAGTCTGCCCATGCTCCCATGTTGGGCCAGATCTCAAAGCAAGTGTGGAAAGACAAATGTCTGGAAAGGCCTTTCACAGTGTGCTCTCTAAGTTACACTTATGGATACAGCAAAGAACATTATTTTGTACACGTCTGAATCCCTTTGGTTCAAGGGAAATTCTGGACAGGTAGATTGTAAGATGATTTCACCTCGTGTGGGAGCCTATTTAAAGGAGAATATATTGAAATTTTAAATATTTGCACTAGATTGTGGGAGAAGGGCCTACATATATAAAATCCTCTAAGAAATGTCTTGTCTCAGAAAGTCCTGATTTCTATAGCCATACTCAGGAATCACTGTAAAATGACCTCTTGCCCCATCCCTTTAACTTCTCTTCCTGCTTCCAGTTGTGTTATCTTCCCTGGGTCTGAATTGTCTTTCAGTTGTATGATTCATCCACATACTTGGCTTCGGCTTGCCTTCCATTCCCCTTCCAAGCAATTCTGTTAGAACCAATCCTTTCTTCACCTTTCCAAACCCCTGGGAAACGCCAGGTCCTCCAGACATTAGCCAGCTCTTTCTGGCCTTCCTGCTGCTTCCCCATGTGAGGGAGGAGCCAAATGGAACTGGGGATGGGGCACACCTTCAGGGCTGCTTCTCAGCTTTGCTAATTCCATCCTGGATAGACAGTGTAAGCAATGGAATCATGGAAGACAAAGCATGGCATTCTCTTGCTTCTTTTACTCCAGATGTATACTTTTAAAGCTGAACTAAAAAAACAAACAAACAAACAAACAAACACTAGTTTTCATTTATTTTGGAAGGGGCCATATCCTATGTATGGAGGTCAGAGGACATCCTGAAAGTCAGTTTTCTCTTTCCACCACACAGAATTGTGGGTTCAACTCGGGTCATCAGGTGTCAAGAGACACCTTTACCTACTGAACCATCTCACTAGCCCTGGATTTTTGATTTCTTTTTACTCGTGTGTTTGTATACACATGAGTATAGTTCTTATAGGAACCAGAGGCATAGGCTTCCTACTGTGAGCCATCCAGCACGGGTGCTGGGAAACTAACTAACTAACTAACATTGGCATGTGTAAGTGCCAGTTTGTCTCTTGGTCTGAGGAGGGCTTTGTGTGACCTGTCCTTCCATGCAGGCTTCCTTACCCAGACCCCCACCCATCAGGCCTGTTCTGTCAGTCAGGTGGCAGCTACATTTCTCTGTCTTTGTATGCCAGATCCTGAATGGAACTTTTTCAGAGAGGGTCAAGTTAAACTCAAGTGAGCATAGGAAGAAAAAACGTTGGGTGAAGGGAATGCTCTTTTTGCTTCTTTTATACTATAGCTGTAAAATGCTGTATTTTATCACAGTTTTTAACCTTCATATAAATAAAGTATATACCTTAATAGGTTGATGGCACAATAGCCTGATGACCCTGAGGAGTAATGATCCACATTGGACAGACTGACAGACACCTCACAGTGGCTTCTTTGCCCTCAGTCTCTTCATTAATCACTTTAAGTTATTTGATCATCAGGCAACTGAGTTGTCATTTTTCTTTGTACTTTACAAAAGACTACTAGTGATAAGTAGTAGTTACAGAAATACTACTAGTGCTAACTACCATATCATTTTTCTTGTCTACCATTTTAGTATTTTATGAATATGTAATTTCACATGAATTTAATAATGTATTACTGTTCTAACATTTTTCTCTGAGAATTACATCCAATGCATTTGATCGTTTCCCTCCCCACCTCCCTATCCACACAACTTCCCATGTGCTCTCTCTTTCCCTCCCTCCCTCCTCTCTTTCTCTTCCCCACCACCTGCTATTAATTCAAAATTTTTTAAAAAACAAAAAACATTGAATTAGTTGGTGTGGCCAGCTAGTTCTGGGCCTTAGTCTTGCCCTGGATACTGTAGTGTATCAGGTATCAGTTCACTACAGAAATGGACTTTCCTCTCCTGTCACCAAGAAAGTGAAGGTAGCTCCTCAACTAGAACTGAGCCCTGGTGGCCACCTTCCCTCCTCCATCCTGGGATTTAGTGTGTGTGCCATCTCAAGCTATGAGCTCATTTGTGCATCTGTCCTATGGTGTCTAGAAAACAGTTTCCTGGAAGTCATTCACTGCCTCTGGCTCATAAAATCTTTCTGTCCCATCTGCCACATGGATCTCTAAGCCTTGAAGGAAAGGATAGAAGAATTCCATTAGGGCTGAGAGTTCAGTCTGTCATGCTCTGCATGTTGCCAGTATGTAACGCGTTGTGGGTCTGTATGTAAGAAGTGTTTCAGATAAGGGTCAAGTGACCTATAGGTACAAAACTAAGTCACTGGGTGTAGTTTTATTGCTACCGTCATGTAGTGGAATGATACTTGGTTTTCCCCTAGAAGCCATGAACTATCCAGCCACAGGTTCTGGACCTCACTGATGATATTAGGTATGGGTTCCATCTTGTGGAGCAGGGCTTAAGTCCAATCAAAACATGATTGGTTACTTTTGTAACATTTGTGTCACTATTGCTAGGCAGGCAAGTTGTTACTGTAGTTCACAGAATTCATAGCTGGGTGAGACTGACAATTACTTTTCTCCTCTGGTAACATGCATAGTACCTTCCAACAATATGAAAGTTAGCCAGTAGGGGTGAACCTTCCAGGTCAGTACCAGCTAGATTTCTCCATGTTCCATGACTCAAGTATATGCTATCTTTAGCAATAGGGTCTTAGCATCATTTCTAGAGGTCAACTAATACATTGGCAATAGGTTTTAATGTTTGAGTGCACAGTCTAATGACTCCATTGGACAACGACTCAAAAAATAGGTGACCCATTCCTGGTACTGTAGTTTCATTTGGAAATATATGCTGTCTAGTTAGGGTATTGCTCTCCAACCCCAGAATAACTTTGAAACTTGTGCTTTCAAAAGCCCTACCTCCACCCCAGAGACACAGTTTCTCTGGGTAGTCCTTGGCTGTCCTGGAACTCATTCTGTCTAGACTTGGCCTTTGGTTTGCCTCCCAAGTGCCAGGATTAAAGGCATGCACCACCACTGCGCAGCTCAAAAAGGCCTCTAGTATTATCCATCCCCCTTACTACACGCTCTCCTCTATCCTGCCGTCCCATCCCCTGTCCCACTCAGTTATTCCTGACCCATTCTTCCTTTCTCCAAAACTTCTATTAGAAAAGCATGTTGTTCTTTGTCACAGGCCTTTTCTGCATCTGATGAGATGATCGTGTGGTTTTGTCCTGTGTCTACTTATATGGAGGGTTATGTTTACTGGTTTACTTATATCAAATCATCCTTGTATCCCTGGAACGAGGCCAGCTTTATCATGATGGATGGTATTTTTGATGTGTTCTTAGATTCTGTTTGCAAGTATTTTGTTGAAATCTTGCATTTATGTTCATAAGAAATATAGGTCTTTAATTTTTGTTGTTGGTCTTTGTCTGGTTAGGATATCAAAGTAATAACTGGCTACAAATAAGATCTTGGCACTATTCTTACAGTTTCTGTTTTATGAAATAATCTAAGGAATATTGATGTTTTCTTTGAGGAATCCCAAACTGAATCTATCTGGTCTGGACTTTTTTTTAGTTGAGAGACTTTTTTTTCAAGACAGGGTTTCTCTGTATAGCCCTGGCTGTCCTGGAACTCACGCTGTAGACCAGGCTGGCCTCGAACTCAGAAATCCGCCTGCCTCTGCCTCCCAAGTGCTGGGATTAAAGGTGTGTGCCACCACTGCCCGGCAGTTGAGAGACTTTAAATTACTGCTTCTATCTCATTAGATGTTATAGATCTATTTCAATTTTAACTTTGATAAGTTATATACATACAGAAAGTCATCCATTTCTTTTAGGTTTTTAACTTGGTATAATATAGATTTCAAAAGCATGTACTTATGATTCTGTGAATTTCCTCAGTGTCTGTTGTGATGGATCTTTTCTCATTTCTTATATAATTTGGATCTTCTCTCTTTTGGTTAATTTGGCTAAAGGTTTGTCAGCATTGTTAATTTTTTTGAAAAAACTTATCTTTCCTGCTCTGAGTTTATTTCTTCCTGTTTACTCCTTTTGGGTGTTGTTTGTTCTTGTATTTCTAAAGTTTTCAAGTATACCATTAGGTTATTAATATGAGATCTCTGGAGCCCTGGCTAGGGCTTTTATGTAGACCAGGCTAGCCTTGAACTCAAGAGCTCCACTTACCTGTGACTCCTGGAAGCTGGGAGTCTATACACATATCACTATGCCTGTATGTTGCACAACATTGTACCTTGCAACTCACTTAAAATATTGTAAAATATGTCATACTTTAATGTGTGAAAAATTTCAACAAGCATAGAAAAAATGCTTTTCACTAGGAAACTAAATCTTCCTATCTAAACAAGCTTTTTAAATATTGGTTTTGTATAAGGGATCAAACCCAGGGCAGTGAGCATATGAGGCAGATGCACGATCAGTGGGCTACATCCCAGCCCTCTAAATGTGTTGTGAATGGCTTCATGGAGTACATCTTAACATGCCTACCACGTGTTAGCTTAACCCACCTGACTGTTGACATTCCTTAGATTTGTTGTTAGAAATTGGTTGTTCTTGCTGGTGTGTGTGTGTGTGTGTGTGTGTGTGTGTGCACGCGCGCGGCGTTTTGAGGGGATGGGATGCCAGGCATCAAACCCAGGAACAGTTTGCATATGCTAGGCAATTAACCAATCCCCCAATCTTATTTTCTTGAAAGGCTGTTTCTGGAATCTCCTTCCTTTCTTGACGTCTTCCTCTCTGACCTCTTTCTCACTTGCCAATGCATTTGATACTGAGGCTTCAGCGCCTGCTCCTTTTGCTCTCATATTTAGCTCACAGGTACCCATGCTCAGTCCTGTTCTTCCCTGGATTCTCTCTCCAGTTATCATATCTAAAGAAGCATATCCCAAAGAGAAGTCTTGCTGTTTCCTTTTCAGATGGGCTCCCATTATTCTCAGCCCAGCTGTGGTTGGTTGTTTTGGTTGATTGGTTTTTCGATTTTTTTTTTTTTGTGTGCTCCAGAGAATGCTAGGTAGAAAAATGTGAAAATGGCTATTCAGAGTGGCCCCTAAACATAACCCTTAAATTTCACCTTTAAATTTCAAAACCTATATTCCACCCAGTTGGAAACCTAAAAGAAATGGATATCTGTATGTATATAATTTATCAAAGTTAAAATTGAAATTGATCCATAACATCTAGTGAGACAGAAGCAGTAACTAAAAATCTCTCAACTAAATTTAAAATATTTTGTCAAAAGAATGAAAAAAAAGGGGGTTTGTCTGGAGCTATGGGTAGTTGCCTGAGCATCACTGCCTAGCCTGCTTCTTAAAATGTGTTTTGGCTGAAGTAAATTCAAATCTCTCTTGTATAAGCTGTTAAAAACCATAGTCAATATTGAATTTATACTTTTATGTAATATTTCAATGTAAAGATGTCAGAGTTCTGGACTGTTTGGGGCTCAAAACCTGATCACACGTTTGACCTTGTTGTCTATTCATAGTGTTAGAAGAAGAAAGGTCATATTATCCATGTATTCATCTACCAACTAGTAATGCTTCATTCCACCTACAGTCATGAACTTGTGCAAGTGGAGATGCATGCAAAGTTCTAAAGTAGAGAGACACCATAATAACGCCAAGGTTTCTTCTTCTTTTTACAGGGAAAGAAAACAAAGTGAAGCTGTTTCTTTCTTACCTTGTGTATTCATCAGATCGTCTTGAAATTTAACTAAAAATATGACAGCTCTTTCTTCAAAGAACTGTACCTCTCAATACCAGTTTCATCAGTCTCAGCAGCCCCTCGATGCCTCCTGTCTGTTGTTCTTGATCATACTTGCGAAAGTGTTATTAAATATCCTCATCCTAAGAGTGAGAAGGAAAGACACCTGTTGGACTTTTATGGAGTATTTCTGCTTTTCAGTAGCATTTGTTGATCTCCTGCTGCTGGTGAACATTTCCATTCTGACCTACTTCAGGGACTTCGTAGTTCTAGGTATTAGGTTTACTAAATACCACATCTGTCTGCTCACACAAATCATTTCCTTCACTTACGGCTACTTGCATTATCCAGTGTGCTCACTGGCCTGTATAGACTACTGGTGTAATCTGTCCAGAGCCACCCAGCATTCATTTAGGTGGCAAAAGTTACTCTATTTCTTGACAGTCATTTTAACTTGGATCTCAGTACTAGCTTACGTTTTGGGTGAACCGACCATCTCAGTAAGCCTAAAGACACACAGGGCTTATGTGTACCAGTGTCCCTCCTATGTCAGCACTCAGAGTCATTGGCTGTCACTATCTATGCTGATGGTTTTATTTGTGGCCTTTCTGATTTCATGGCAAGGAGTTGTTGCCTTGTTACAGGCTATGAGGATAGCATCCTATAAGAACAAGGCCGTCCTCTATTTTCCTTTCCCACCGCACTCCGGTTACACTGTGAGCTCCAGAAAAGTGCTCTTGCCCAGGCTCATCGTGTGCTTTCTTGGTACCTGGTTCCCCTTTGTGGCACTTCAGGTCCTCGTCATCTCACTCAGAGTCCAGATCCCAGCATACATCGACATGAATGTCCCCTGGCTGTACTTTGTCAACAGTTTTCTCATTGCCGCAGTGTATTGGTTTAACAGCCACAAGCTTTATTTAAGAGGCAGCACGTTACCTGTGGATCCTTTCATCAACTGGAAATGCTGCTTTGTTCCAGTCCATAGACTTAAGCAAGTGGAGAGGCCCATGGCCGTCATCATCTGCTAACATGCTGTGCTGGAGGAACTCCAGAAGCACCGAGCTCCATCTTCCAAGGACAAAGGTGGCTCGGGACATGGAACGGAAGCTCTTGCTCCCCTAACTTTTATCTTTTCAGCACAGCCTCTGTGGGGTGGATATCAAATATTGCTAAGGACACACGAACACAGCAGAGTTTTTATGTCTGCTCGTCAACATTGTGTATTTACTGTTAATCCAAAAGTAAAATATACACATTAACATGTGGCCAGTTTTATGTTTTACTCCAAAAAAACCCTACTGGGTGCAAAATGTTAAATAAATTTGAGATTCTACTTGCCAACTTTAAGATCTGAGCTTAAATATTTTATAAACTTTAGAGCAAAATAAAAGACTTAACGTGATTTGGTGTAAATAAAATTTATGGGGGAGATTAGCTCATTTTAAATACAGCTAAAATATTTTATTACAAATATTCCTGCAGAGTTTCAGCTACGGAGCTGGGAACCATGAGGACTCTTGCCACGACAAGTGAATTGCTTGTTCACTTACAGCATGTGCCTATCAGATCATAATTATGTTAGCAATATGCACTAGAAGCAGCCTCGGGCTGTTGAGATTTAGGGCTGGATAACCTATTCTGTCTTGTAGGGATAACCCTACACATTGTGTAGATGCCAGTGACACCTTCCCCAGAAGTGGCAATCAAAAATGTCTCCACATATTCCCAACATTCCTCTGGGCACAACTCCTACCCACACTCCCCAGGGGTGAGGGAAACCTGAGCACTATGAGCCAGACTAAACTGAACCTACTTTATGAATTAAGCTACACAGCTATCTTGGCTGCTATTTACAAATAGTAACACATGTGTGTTGCAAGAACCACGCCTAGCATTCGTAAAATGAGTAGCTTTCAGGCTGGGGCTGTCACTCATCGGTGGACTGCTTACCAGCATGCACAAAGCCACAGAAACTGAATGCAGTAACTTATGCCTATAATCCTGTACTTGGGAGGAAAACAAGAAATTCAAAGTTATCATTGGTTACCTCGAGGTCAGCCTGGGCTACATGAGATCAAGATGGCCCCAAGATGACTTACCTTTTAACATCACAACTCACATGTATCCACTTATGTATATACTTAGGTGTAACGTGTGTAACAGATTCACAGTTTTACAAAGTAGTCGTGACCTATCAGGGTCATGACCTGCAGAAGGCTCACATCCTAACGCGTGTGCTGTGGAGCAGCCGTGATGGGGTCTGTGTGCCTGGCACTGTGGAAGCATTTGTATGTGGAGACTGCTGCATTCTGGTCACACCCTCTTGCCGCTTAAGAAAATGAAAGCATCGACATTAAGCAGCCTACCCCAGCTCGCTCAGACCCTGACCTCGGAGTCCCACTCCCTCCACTCTGCTACACATTCATTAGCCCCACCCACTGTTTCTCAAGACGATGGCTTTTCCTAATTGTTTTTTACTTAAAACCTACAGTGTCGATGAACATCTTAAGGAACTGCGGTCCCGTTTCCTTGAGCATGCAGGTCTTCAGGTTAGCACCACCCACCCAGAGAGACAAGATGGCCATGCTGCTGGATAACCAAGAATTCTCTGAGTGAGCTGCAAGCACAGGTTAAGCATTCCAGGCCTAAAATGCTTTTGGATAAGGGATAATCAATACTGTCTGAAAATGTAGGTCTCAGACATTCCAGATGACACCTAGTGATAGAAACCTAACTCGAGCCATTCTAAGGAAAAGGGTACTGGGACAACAACATGGTAAAATAAACTAGGAGACTCTCTGGGGTGTCAAGTGTCATTTGCTAACACAGAGGGCATGCTGGCTGCCAATAAGCCGAGCTTTTAGTATCCCAATTTAAAGCTCCTACCTTCAGATATAAAACCTAGGAAATGACTGGCCCGATCTGAGTCATATGCTCTGGGCCAGGGATGCTGCCACGAGACACTGGAAGGAAGGAAGCTCAATCATTAGGCTGTGAGGCACAGGATTTAAAATGTTTAAAAATTAGGTCTTAAATTTTAGAAAGGAATAAAAAATTATATTGTTCTGTTTTTAAAATGCAAATCGAGATACACTATATCTAAAGCCAGCACACCTGATTTGTGCGGCAAGCCCTCCACTGACCTCAAAGCTCAGCTGCAGTGAGCACTGCATGTACTTGTGCAGTTCAAATGTCTGGAACTGGCCCTTTTAATTCACTGGTGTACATCTCCCTCTCCATGGGTTTTTTTTGCCTTCCAAATGGCCATAACATGAGAATAAAACATACTTGGCTATATTGAACTTAATATACTCTTTGTAGATTAGATAGCAAGAAATTTATAACCAGTTCAGCCCTCCATTAAGGTCTTTTATTAGATTCCCCTGTCTCTCAAAAACTTAAAGAAATAAAAATTCAATAACCAGTCAGGCTTTTATTTGTAAAGAACTGAAGTTACAATTGGTCTACAATATATTATTGTAATATAAACAACATAAATAAAAGATCCTGTAGGCCCACCGCTAGCCATCTGCCCAGACCCACTCGAAGCCATGTTACAATACTCTATGTGAAAGTGTGCAGGTAACAAAGGTGCAATCCAAGCAAGGTTAAGCAGCAGAGGATAAGGTGCTTCCATTAGCAGTTAACATCGCCAGCAAACATCTGATGCTCCTTTAATTTCACTGACTAGACACACATAGGAAGTCTAAAATTCACACACATGCTACTTAATATGAAAGTGCTTTCTCTTTTCTTAAAAAAATACATCCAATGAACACTTTTTACATAGATAATGGTGTGCTCTTATAATGCAAAATTAACTTCATTTTCAGGTTATACATTGTAAAACTGTAGCTATGGACGCCAGTCTAGGAACTCTATGCTAAGGGTGCTAGAACTATATCATTTCCTGTGAGGAGGTCTCTAATACAACATCCAATGTAAGACACGTCTATTATAACCCTAATATTTGCTTTCTCTAAGATTAAAACATGTTTTCTTTCCCCCTTGGTGATGCTTTTTTCCTTCATGAATCATCTTTTGAGATTTTTTTTTTAATTATAAAACTTTGATTTTAGAACAATGGTCAAAACCAAAAGGAAGAATTTTTAAAAATGGGTTTAAAACATTAAAAAATACAGTTAATCCCAACAACCTGCCTTTGTGAAACACATTTTAAGTGGTAAAAAGGCAAAGCATTCTAGCCAAATCAAAGAGGCTTGAAGTCCAGCAGCTGGCCCCTGTGCATGGCTGTCTGCAATGTACAACCCTCATTTCTAGCACAATCCCTGTACTTTCCAAGAATTTCTGAATTCTGATGTTTAATCCCCGACTGTACAAACCAAGACCCATCTTCTGAATGAGGTGATTGGCAGTTTACTCCATCAATGTGGGAGTCATACACAAAAATTACACTGTACTCTCAGCAGAATTCTCAAGTTCTAAGAATACAGACACAAGAACAGCATAAATCAACAGAAATCTAATCAGCACAGGATACAACTTAGGAATACTTTCAAAAACTTAAAGTAACCAGAATTGTGAGACACTTTACAAAGACCAGATTAGTGGGCTATGTAGATAATTATAACTTTAAAGAAACCTCAACCTCAATTTGAAAGCATCCATTATCAATTGTCATGTAACACTTTATTTGGGCATTTCCCCACTTTAAAAACCTATAGCTATGATGCATAAAAGTTTTTAAAATATATTTTTATATCTTTATAGAGAATGTGAGTAGCAACTGATGTTAGCATTTAAAGCAAGAATTACAACCTGATTCACAGAACCACAGAGTGACATAGGAATTCACCCCCATTAAAGTGACTCTTACTCCATCTTCACTTCTTAAATACTTGCCAGCACAGGCAGGATCTGCTTTTTAGTGGTAGTGGTGGCTTTTGAGACAGGGTTTCTTTATGTAGCCTGGCTCTGCAGGAACTCGCTCTGTAGAGCAGGCTGGCCTCAAACTCAGAGATCTGTCTGCTTTGGCCTCCCAAGGCTGGGATTAAAGGTGTGAGCCTAGCTAGAAACTGCCTTCTGTCACCAGTTCTGCATTTCCTTTCTGGGTCTTCCCTGTCTTTGAGAGGTGGCTGTCTCTAACACACTACAGTACAGTCGGCACTGTGGAGAAGGCAGAGGCAGCAGTAGCAGCCTGTTCTCTGCCTCATTTTAGATGATTGTTTTGGAAAACTGTTCCACTATCATCAACACTAGATATAAACTTTTGCAACTAAAAATGCACAATGATTCCACATGGGCTTCTTGCATCTGCCACCCACACACCACATACAGGGACGGACCTGACTGCCGGTCACAGCAGTCTCACCGTCGGTCATGGCAGCTAGTCTGACTGTTAACAGTCAAGGAGATGGCCCGCAGATGGAAGTGTGAGAGTGGCGATATGATTTAGCCCTCGGACGTTATTAAACCCCAGTTCCCAGACAGCAGGGCAGTCCTGGTTAATTAATTACTATTAATTACTGGTTGTAATTACATACATGCTTAAGCAGCACAGAATTTATTTCAGAAGACTTTGTTATTTTTTGGTTTGTATATTCCACACATAAGCCAAGTGTTCAGACAGTTTACAAATGAATGAGTAAGAGCATGGGTATTAAAGCTCGGGGTGAATGTTTCTTCAAAAACAATTTAAGACTCCCCCCAAAAAATCAGCTTATTTAGTAGTGCAGGTATCACACTATACATTGAAATGAGATTAAAAGCCAAACAGCTGCCCAGCGTGTCCCAGGGCTGGCCTGCCATCTGGAGTAACACCAAGGCTCCCAGCCTCGCGTTTCCTCTCTCCTCAGCACAGTAATGCAGCAAGTGTATTTATGTTATCACTGAAGAAAGGTTGTAATTTGCTCACTTTTTAATACTACCAAGACATTTAACACAGACATTATGTATAAGGATTTAAACACTGTACATATGTCATTTACTTGAGGCAAGATTTAAAAAGTCCCTTCCTTCTTCAGTGGGTTCATGTTCCCTTGAATGATGTTCTAATCCCCACTACTCGTTCACCACTGTCAGAGAAAGGTCCACAAAGCACTGGTGTGTTCCATTAAGCCAAAAAGCAACAGGTACTATGAATATCTAACATGATGACTGGAACTAAGTTAGACAGTGTAAAGGACTTAACTACATCCCTCTTACATTTCATTAAAACCATGCCATGCTAGCATAATAATGTTTTAGATTTATACTGATTTCTAATTAAAATTCATTCATTACATACTACTTTAAATTTTCTCATTCTAAAGATTTATGCCCGATATCAGGACTATCATAGACAGCAGTATGTTTACACTTGAAAAAAAACCAGAAAGACCTCTGCCTAAAATATAAAGTGTTATATAGAAGCTCATTTTGTGCCTAACATTATATTCAAATTGTATTTTTAAATAAAATAAAATATCCACAAGCTATCAAAGGAGAAAGAAAATAAGACCCTTGTGGAAATAATTTCCCTTAGATATGGCACTTGCCAGAGTGTGTGCTAATGAGACTGCTGTAGAGAAGCTGTGTGTGTCAACAGAGGACCAGGGCCTCCTAATGTTTTCCTCTACATGATGGTAACAACTGTAGATAAACTGATATCTTGTAACTTTCAAAAAGAAAAAAAGAAAGTTTTGTCTTAGTATAATGTTAAAGTAGACTTTAACTCTATAATGTAAATCAGTTGCATGTACAACTGATAAGGCCTTACCATTTAAGGCTACTTTTTAAAATGTCAATATCATTTTCAACATTTTTAATTGGAAAACAGCTTTTATTTCAACTAGAAACTATTTGGCAAAGTATTTTATAATCTAACACCAGAAATATCTTCGCAGAGAATTCATTAAGGGGTTGGTTCAGTGAGTTACCGCTACGTTTGAATAACAAAACACATTTACTCTCCTTAGTACTTACGTGTACTCATCTAAACTCAAAACCCATCTCTGAGACGAAATGAAACACTCTGAATAGAGTGCTGATATCAGTATTGATGACCGTTTAGTTCCAACAGTTCATGTCATCAGTCATTCCGCTCTACACCAAGACAATGGGCAGGCTTGTGCTGACTAGACCCGCCAGTCAGGAGAAACCTGCAGCTGCAGTCACCAGTGCTCAGAATGGAACACAGCACTGCCCTAGAGTGTCTTCCTTCCCTTATGACTGGCTGCAAGGCTGAGCCAGCTGTCATATCTGACTGTGGAAAAGCCTCTGTATTCTGGCCACTCAATCATAACAAACTCCTACATTTTGACAGATTCTTTCCCTCTGATTGATTATCATCTTCAAAAATCCAGTAGTACTCAACTTGGGTACACATGGTACTATTAATATCAGCACTCCTCAGAGCAAGATCAGGTGATAAAGAGAAATAACTAATTTGATTACAGCCAAATCTTGACAATTTAAAACCACAGGGGCTAGGTTTGGCATGGTGGCACAGACCTTAAAATTCAGCACTTGAGAGAAGGTCAGAGGATCACAATTTCAGGTTAGTCTAGGCAAACAAGCAAAAAATATAGTATGCAATCTCAGAGGTGGAGTCTGAGTCCCTGACTCAGTCCCTAGTACCAACAACCAAAACAACAAACACACCTTGTCCAACCATCCATCACCAAGGATTATGCTAAGCTACTAAGGATCATCATTGAGATAAATGTCATTTAGCTAGCAATATCATCTTCTCATCTGTCTCTTACTTTACACGGCACCCCCCCCCAAAAAAAAAACCTTTAAGGAACAAGTCACACAGTTAGACATATGGTATACAAGAAACTAGGAAACAATTTGCATAGATGGACAAGACTTTCATTGAAAAACAACTGGTGAAGTCATAAAGGTCCGCCCCATTACAACAGCCTGAAGATCTCCAAGCCAGGATACTACCCAACCCCAAGTAAAGAACTAAGAAGAAAGTCTGTGTAGTTGACTGGAGGTGGGATTGAAGCTAGATGAGGCTCAGTGCAGGAAATAAGATGAGGCCATCCCATGGCAGCTAACAGTACCAGTCAGCAACAAGTGTTGCTGGCATTACCCAAGTCTTCAAACTACAACATTTAGGCAGCCTCTCTAGTTGAAACATTTCTGAAATGCTTTAGGAGTATTACTAGTCAGAGATTTCATATACTGAACACAGCTGCTGAGAAACAACCTAACAAGCTTGTGAGAAAATGAGTCCTGTGAAAGATTTTAATCCAAGATGTAGTCATAGATATGTGACTAAATTTTGCACATAATATCTAAAGACTGACTGTGACTAGTTATTCAAAGGCATGGTAACGATACAGTTTCACACACCAGCCTTCCAACACAAGAAACAAATAGGAAAGCAGCAGGATTCCTAAAACACAGAAAATCCCTTCTATGCATTCAGGTAAATCATGACTTGTAACCTCCAAAGTGCAGAAATGCGTTCAGGGTTGCATGGGGGAACTGAGCGGAGTGGGAGGTCCCTCTGCTCTGCCACTCTCTGGCTGCTTCACTAACATGCTCTCCTCTTGTTCTGGCACCTCTACTCCCAGGTGACAGTCCTTTAACCTAGACTTTACAGTTCTGCAAAAGTGACTATGCCCATCAGTCACTGTCATTGAAGGTGTCAGGAATGAAGGCAGCACTCCTTGCTATGCTGATGAAGCTATGTCACTGTGCCTTATATGTGTCTATGCAAAGTATCTAAGTATTGTCATATAAAGTAACTTTTACAAGCCAGCTGTTTATTTTCCTAAAAACACAGAACTTAAAACAAATAACATGTGAAAAACGTGTCCCACAGTGGCTGAAGGGTTTCGAGTCAGGAAAGGCAAAATCAGTAAGCAAAATAGGAAGAAGCCGTGCTCCCTTCCTGCTTGTCATTTTCTTTTCTCCAAGAAAGTTCTTAAGTGCTTAGCAATACAAAAGGAAATGAAGTCAGCGTTCTTCCTGTCTATGTCACACTGAACAGCCGAATGCTCAGGAGTCGGGGAAACATGGTACGTGTCCCCATTCCATGTAATTGAAGCTTTCAAATTAGCATGACTGAAAATTACCTAGACAGAAGTACCTGCAGCAATGGGAGAACTACCACACACCAAATGAGCCACTTCTAAATAAACCCACTTGTAAGAAAAAAGTGTATTTGCTAATTAAATTTAAGTGCAGACAACAGAAGATCTGGACTACTTCTAAGATGAAGGAGAAGAAGGCATTCTCCAAAGAGAAACCCCTTATGTAAACTCTCTAGGGGTGCTTAAGGACAGTGCTAGTCATAGGGGTTTCTCATAAGCACACAATGGGCTGATTTTAGTACAAGTGCAGAATTAATGCCTTAAAGGCTCTATGTAAGTATTTGTAGGAGGGGAGCATTATTGCTAGAAGTCTATACGGGACAATCCTTATTCACTGTGGATCACTACAACATAGTTTTAATTCCAGAGGAATGTGCCTTTGTACCTCCTTCGTTATGGCAGGCAATCTCTTAGTGCTGCGTAACCTCTGCTAGGAGAATGAGGACCGTGCATGACAATCCCGCCATGATGACTCAGTACTGACAGATGCAGATGACCATAGAGTACCTGCCTTCCTTGAAACATTAATAACCAAAGGTAATACAAAGAAATATGTAACGTAGACTAGACTATACTGCTGTATTCTGAAACAGAAGCCTGAGCTTACACATTCTCAGTCTACACAGGATTACTAGTGAACAACTCTTAAAACTACTATACCAACAATCACACAAAGCATACATTCAAACAAGAGGCATCTAAAGATTAAAAAAATTATCCACTATATTTCTGTATAAAAATAACCAACATTTTCTAATGTACACAAAGCCAAAAGATAAATTTATCTGTGATGTCTTTGTGACATCTTTTTAGTCTTCTACTAACTTAACACAATCTCTGAAAAGTGCTGTAAAGATGACTGAGTTCAGACTCTTCTTGTCTCTTATATCTGTGCCAAGGACATGTACATGTCCCTTCAACTGTTCAGATTTCTCAAATATGTAGTAAAGATAGAGAAAGCAAACAAAATCAGCAAATCTTTTGATGCCCAGCACTATAAAGATTCAGAGCATCCACAGAAAAATTTGGCTTAATGTCCAACAGAAAACTGTTGAATGAAAACTTTTGATTAAGAGAAATCACTTTAAATTCTTTGTGGGAAGAGTCCACAGCCTTAGTAAGGGAGAAAGACATGTGCATTCTAGCCAGACTCAGCAGGGTTGCTTCAAGGAAGTGATCCCATCTCCACTGCATGAACTATATCTAGCACCTTCATCAGTGCACAGAAGAGTCAGGAAGAGGTGACCATGGGCCAGTGCCACATCACAGTCACATGATCTGTGAGTTAACCTAGTTCTATAGCCCAAATTTATGGATTTCCTTTTTTTTCTAGTATACAGTAAAACTAAAACCTACTTCTGAACTCTGGTGCCACTGGCTAATCCTTCACTGCACATCCCTCCTCAAAACAGCCCATCTTTTAAGTATGTCCCTGCAGGTGGAAAGAGCAACACGCAGCGCTTTGCTCACCCAGACTTCTCAACCATGGAACCACTGGCATCTGTTAACACGTCACTCTTGGTGACAGGGACATCCTATGTGCTGTAGGATATTCAGCAACATCTCTGCTGGCTGCCACACCTCAGTTCCTTTAACAACCCTTGCCAAAACTCAACCCCAAGCTGTGGCAACCAGAATGTCTCTAGATATTGCCAATTGTCCCCTGGAGGACAAGTTCTCCACTGAGAACAATTGCTCTTAATGTACAGACCAGGAAGAAAACTGTCAGTCATGCCAACCTGGTAAAGACTAGAGACTCTTGAGAACTTCAAAAATACTGCTTGGGGTAACACACAATCCCTTTTCACAGCCAAAGCATTTGTCTGGAAGATACGCTTTTTAAAACACACTGGTATTTCACTGCATTCAATTCTGTCAATGGGCTCCTAAATTATGCTATATCTCTATGACAACATTTAGAAAACTAACAGGGTAGAAAAACATATAAGAAAAGAGAATTAAAGGAGGGGAAATGTAAATCAATAATTTTTAAAAGGATTCTTTTATATTAATGATAAACATTACCTTTAAAAAATTATCTAGTATAGCATGTTTCTTTGAAAAATATGGGCCTCTGTAACAAGTCTTTCAGTGTAGCATGTAACTGGTAAAATTAATGTCACTGATGCACTCTAATTATGAAAATGCATGATGAGTTAGGACATTTGAAGAGAAATGTCGGCACTGGCCATGGCTGTCCCAATGCACTTGGCCTTCCCCCATCAGTCTGATAGTCTCAGTCCAACGAGGCTTTACCTTCGCCTAGTAAGAGGAATGGGCTGAGAGGCACAAAGCCTCACTCTTGTTAAGAGTCCTTCAGAGAGTTGATGCGTGCACAAATCTTCAAGGCTGGGCCTAGCTTCATGTTCATTGCACTCATGAGATGGTCTTCTTTTAGCAAGAGCAGGGCCTGTCCATCAATCTCTTGTGCCCTGAACTCATCTGCAACATCCTGGCAGCCTGGAATTCCATGAGAAGACAGAGGTACACACAATTAGATGGAGTTCTGTTGTCACTGGGGTGAGAGCTTGCAACACAGGTTAAGAAGCCAATGTGCTACACAACCTGGGGTTCACCCTTGAAGAAGTCAAAACCCAAGAAAGAGTTTACTTGGTCGTCTTGCTTTAAAAACATTACACAAATAATAGCAAGAGGGATCAGACAACATGTATTTCCCATGCAAAAGAACTGCATTACCAGGTCTTACATCTCATGAACTCATCTTCCCATAACATAATTCCACCAACAGACAGAGAGGAATAAGATGTTTTGCTATAATAATCTGAAAATATTTTCTCAAATTTCAGATTAAACTTTCATTACCATCCATAAATTCTCTGAATTTGCGTAACCTCAGGTATATCTGAAAGTATTTTCACTGTTCCTTCGGGACAGAACAAATCCCCCAGGACTGCTGGATTAACATGTTAGAATGCTGCTGACATAATACC